TCTGCCATCCTTGGCGGTCATCTATGTTGTCCTTCTATTCCTTCATAGGACTCCACAGAAGGCCAAAAGAGCCAGACTTGAGGTTGACGGTGATGGTCCAACACATTGTATATACACTATATTGGCAAAAGTATTGGGCCCCTCCCCCTCAAAATCATGGGATTCAGGTGTTCCAATCCCCTCCATGGCCACATGTGTAGAGAATCACGCACCTCGTCAACATTCCCATAGACACACTCCTACACCTTGTGGACGCCTTCCCAGAAGACTAGAAGGCAGGCGTCCCAATACTTTTGGCAATATAGTGTATCTCCATCCAGCAGGACCAGGAGCCCCCGAAGACGCCTGCAATCCAAAGCACCGGATCTATTGATCAAACCCTCCATGGCTGGCTTGAAGATGACCTGTCATAAAGTAAACATGGAGGGTGCTTCTAACTGCCTGGCCAGTCATGCCAACCCTCTGGCTTCCTCACCTAAGAGCAAACAAGGACTCTTTCCCTTTAAATAGATGAGAGGGAAATAAGAGGCGCCATATTGCAGTTATATCACAACTCTTGTTGCTCAGCAACCAACCAAAAACTAAAGGCAGGTTGTCATTGGTTGCCATGGGCAACCTTGGGAGTCCAGCTGATCTGGTTCACACAGTTCCCCTTTGCTTAATATTAATGAATGCTCATTAATATTTATCAGCTCATGGTCACTCCGTACTCACCTGGTTTCTCCCCCCTTTTTTTAATACCCCTTTAAGACACCCCGGCCGGAAGTTCCTTTCTTCCTCCCAATGACTTTCTGGCTCCCTACTTCCGGGGGCAAGGTTGAGCCCTCTGTTCCACTACGGGGAAGAAGCACCGATCAGCGCCCTCTGCGGGCGGACAGCAACATTACACAGACTCGTAGCGGCTTGGATTGGCTCCTGAGATAACCCGTAGTTCCAGAGAGAGCAAAAAGCAGCGGCCATGTTGTCGTAGACTGTAAATACCGGTAGCCATGAGAAGGTCGCCATTTTGCTGTGGTCCACCTTAGTATTGGCTACTTCCCCTGCTGTGTCCAGTATACTATAAAAAAGGAAAGGTGTGTGTGACTGGATTGTAGACAGACCACTGTTTATAATTTTGGGAACACAATGCATTTATTGTAATGATCTATATAACACCAACATAGACTGTAGGGCTTTACAGAGCGCAGTCATCTATTATGCACTGGTGCTGGGTGCAGACATTTTCAGTCCAATACAGCCACTTAATAGCAGCTTTCAATAGCAAGGAACTGATTGACACGATTTGTCGCCAACCGTTGCTATGACTGCGCGGGCAAAACATGATGGCGAGGTAGGGGTAGGCATCCTTCCCCAGGGCTAGAACCTCAAGTTTTTATTGCTGTGTTCCCTTGAGGAAGATTTCCTTCACTTCCTGTCCAGGTGACAGGAGTCAGTCAAAACAAGAAGATAAATCTCTATGGGGGGAGACTAGGGTTGCCACCTTTTCTTCAAGCGAAACCCGAACACTCCAGCAACGCACGGTCATTTTTGTGGGAGAAATGTAAAAAGTGCCGCCCATTCATATGTAAATATCACAGTAGAGACTATTTTCAGTGGGGGGCCAGTAGCCCCTATCCTAATTTTGGTTGCCCCTGTCTGCCTGACATCTTGTGTCCGGGTCTCAGCTGCCATGAAACCCGAACACAGCATTCAAAAACCCGAACTGTCCGGGTGAATCCTGGACAGGTGGCAACCCTAGGGGAGACAGTCATTAAAGAATAAATGAACTTTTAGACCGTGCACTTACTCTTTTTGCCCTCCTGACCTCAACTATCCCACCCTCCCCTCCGCATATATCTACTTACCGACATCCCAGGGCCACAGCTCTGCTCTATGCAAGTTTCCCTCTCCTGGCCTTGTCCCCCACCAAAGTCTATGGGGCTGTAATGTGCTGGAGTGGCCAGCAGATGGCGCATTGCTTCTTATCAATAATAGGAGCATGCCTGTGGGATCTCGGTAAGTACGGATCGGCAAAAGGGGAGATCGTTTAGGTCCGGAAATTCAAAGACGTAACCCATGCAGTGAGGCTACCTCCTGCACTGCAAGGGTCAACTGCTCGTTTCGGCTAGGGAGCAATAATAAAGATATACTGATGGGGCTCTAGTGGCTCCACAAAGACTGCAATTCAATTTCTTTTTTTTTTTTTTTAGGGAAAAATAACAAATTCATGGCTACCTGTAAGCGTGAGATGGTTCATCTTCAGCCACAACTGTCCCGTGTGATTGTACAAGTTATGGGATCCTCCTAAAATTCTATCGCTACAAAAAACTGATCTGCTCACGTAGACGTTTAGGTTCTTTTATGCCACGCAAACTGACCTCTTCACGTGTCCTAATGATCACATGCTTGCTTTACTCACACGCGGCTTTCAATAGAACTTCAGACATTGCATACGCTAACGCTTTTTTGGGGGGGAATGTGAGGTCTTCTTTATAGAGCAGGGGTCTCAAACTCAATTCACTCGGGGGCCACTCGACACATTTTTTTCTCTCTAGGGGGCCACTCGCCTAATTTCATACTTTAAAATAAAATGTAACTCTACCCAGTAGGGTACCACGAAGACTAATACACACACCATACGGCCCCATTCATATCTGTAGGTGTGCAGGCGTTTACATGCTGCGGCTGTCACCTGATCATTCACTTGAACGGGTGACAGCCACCGCGTGTAAACACCAGATTAGTGATTCCTGATGCAGGAATCCCTAATCGCACCCAAAGATACAAGTGTGAATGGGGCCGAAAACAATTCTACTGCCCCCCCCTCCCCAACACTTAAAGGAATACTACCCCTGCACATATAAAATACCTTAACCCCTCCCCCATACACATAAAAAAAAACTACCTCTGTAAATAAAAAAGAATACCCCCCCCATACACATGAAAAAATACCTTAACCCCCCCCCCCATATATATATTAATGCAATTCCAGCCCCCATACACACACACACACACTATATATATACACACACACACACACACACACACACACAATCCCAGCCCCCCACACACATTTAAAATAATATAATTCTCAGTCCCTCCCACATAACAACATGTCAAATAAAATACAGAGCCCCCTCTCCTGCTTACCTTTTTTGCAGGGAGGAGGCTTTAAGGAGGCACATTGATCCCTGGTGATCTAGTGATTGATTGGTAAAGTCTGCTGCAGACCTCACTAATCAATCCTTTCGGCCGGCGTTCACTGAAAGACATCAGAACTCTGGCCGAAAGGATTCGAGTCCCGGCACAGTAGCAGCTATGCGGTCCGCATCGGACAGAGATAAAGACCGTGTAGCTGCTCCCGCAAGTCTGGACCACGTACCTGACTTGTGAGCTAGCTGCGGGCCGCAACTTACCCGCGGGCCGGTACTTTGAGACCACTGTTATAGAGGATACTTCGGTAGTTGGGAAATGGGTCACTCGCATTGAATTCTGTAAGCGGGAAATTTGGACGACAGGCCTTGTCCTCTAAGCCAGGGGTAGCCAAACGCTGGTCCTCCAGCTGTGGTGAAACTACAAATCCCACGAGGCATTGCAACATTCTCACAGACACGACTTCCGGAGAGAGATGCCTCATGGGATTTGTAGTTTCACCCGAGCTGGAGGACCAGCGTTTGGCTACCCCTGCTCTAAGCTAATATAGAAGACCCTCGTTTACCATGCTGGACTTTTTCTGAGCCTTATATTCATCCTAAAATCAGGATTTGACCCTCACGTCCCTCCCAGTATTTTTGATCGATTCAGTTTTTACCCGGATGCAAACAGTTCAGCACTCGCTGGAAGCACCGTGCGTCCGGGCAGCACCACGAATGAAATAAATACAAACGTGAAGGGCATTTCTCCTCAGCATATTTAATTTCCATTGAATTTTGGAATAAATTAAATAAAAATAATACTTTCCCTTTCCGCTCCCCCCCTTGCTTCTAGGAAGGGGTGCAGAGTCCGCTCTCAGGCACCGCTACTAGTGAAGATGTGTTTCCATGTTCCTCTTCATAATGTCTTTAGGTTCAATGTCTATCTACCTTTAAGGTCCAGTATTCGTAAACGCGCAATTTCAAGTTCTGTGACATGTTATCCAAATGCTTGTGAGTTTTGACTGCACCTTTCTTGTTCTTGTTCAGGAGAAAGTGACAGGTTCTCTTGACAGGCCACCACATCCCACAGGGAGACTTGCTTTTCCTGAGTCCAGGACACCACCACTTGTCTGTTAAAGCCTGTATGTTGGAGCTTACACAGGGATAATGATCTTGTACTCTCCCCATGTGACAGCATCTGGGCCTAAGCAGCCAATCTTCAGTCATCCTGAGAGAAAGGGGGGGATGGGGAATGGAAGGTCACATGCTCCTCCATACCTGGAAGTACCCGGTGTTTTTGAGGGCCCAACAGATGAAGAGACCGGTAGGAAAGCGTACTTAAGTATTAGTAGGAGAGGTGGGTGTCATTTCTAAGGGTGTTCTAGATGCTTACCTTATACTTCATTCAGTACCTAAAACACCTCGGATTAAAGTTTGAGGGGGGAGCCGAGTACGCTCCGGTCTTCCCATTCGTCTTCAATACTCGTCTGTTCCAACTCCTCCTTATAAATAATAAATCCAGCAGAGATGGTGGGAGGCCCTCATAATGGGCGCAGCATGTGTACAGACCGAGGAACTCAGTTCAGGGATAGTGGGAGCCCCTCATAATGGGCACAGCAGGTGTACAGACCCGGGAACTCAGCACAGGGATGGTGGGAGCCCCTCATAATGGGCACAGCAGGTGTACCGAGCCGGGAACTCAGCACAGGGATGGTGGGAGCTCCTCATAATGGGCACAGCAGGTGTACAGAACCGGGAACTCAGCACAGGGATGGTGGGAGCTCCTCATAATAGGCACAGCAGGTATACAGACCCGGAACTCAGCACAGGGATGGTGGGAGCTCCTCATAATGGGCACAGCAGGTGTACAGACCCAGGAACTCAGCACAGGGATGGTGGCAACCTCTCATAATGGGTGCAGCAGGTGTAAATAACTGGAATTTAGCGCATGGATGGTGGGAACCCCTCATAATAGGCACAGCAGGTGGGCAGACCTGAAAACTCAGCTCAAGGATGGTGGGAGCTCCTCATAATAAGAGCAGCAAGTGTACAGGCCCAGGAACTCAGCACAGGGATGGTGGGAACCCCTCATAATGGGCACAGCAGGTGTACAGACCCGGGAACTCAGCACAGGGATGGTGGGAGCCCCTCATAATGTGCACAGCAAGTCTACAGGCCCATGAACTCATTGCAGAGGATAGCGGGGGCCCCTCCTGAAGGGCACAGCCAAGTGTGCAGACTCAGGAACCCGGGGACCTGCACACCGATCTCATGAAGAAAGTCCCTGAGATACAAAAGAGACAGGTCAGATAGACTGATCCTTTAACGCGCTAGGTGCTGCAGTATTCTATCATTATTTAGAATGGAGAATGAGCATTATGAGCACCTAGTGGCCTCTTGACGCATTGACAAAAGGACTCTATTATAGGTCTGTGAGCACCAAGCCAAACTCAGCTGCCGCTTCCCTCCCCAGCAACCTCTTGGCTCGCGTGTGCACTAAGATGCGTGACAAGCGAGGCTTTCAGCGCAAACTGCTGCCCACATTCCGGACAGAAGTGCCACTGATAACGCATGTGGACCTTCTCGTGTCTAACCAGGTCGGACCTCTGCTTGAAAGCCCTCCCGCACTTAGAACAGGAGTACGGGCGATCGCCGGTGTGAATCCTGTAATGCGTCACGAGGTTCGCCCGTTCCGTAAAGCACTTCCCACATTCCGTGCACGAGTACGGCTTCTCCCCTCTGTGAAATTTCTCGTGCCTGGTGAGAGACGACTTCCGGGAAAAACGTTCCCCGCACTCCGCGCACGAATACGGCTTCTCCCCCGTGTGAGTCCTCTGGTGGTTATTGAGCTTCGTCCTGTCGGTGAAACATTTGCTGCACTGAGAGCACGCAAACGGCCGCTCGGCCAAGTGGGACTTCTGGTGCCTGACCAGGTTCGACCTTTCGCTGAAACTCTTCCCGCAGTCCGAGCAGCAAAGCGGCTTCTCTCCGGTGTGGCTTCTCTGGTGTGCGAGGAGCTGCCTTTTCCAAATGAAACATTTGCCGCACTCCGAACACGACAAGGGGTCCTCCCCCCTGTGGATTCTCTGGTGTGAAAGTAAATTTTCTTCTCTGGTGAACGTTTTCCTACACTCGGAGCAGGGAAAGCGCTTTGGAGCAGACGGATCTGAGCTGGGAAGGGGCGGGTGGCGATTTGGGGTGAGGGGGTCTTCATCCGACGAATTGTCTGTGACGTCATCGTCTTCTATGGTGCCCTCTGGAGAGATGATGGGCCCCGTGTAACTTCTGTAACGTCCATCTATAAGAAATCACAAGGAGGCATGAAAACGTCTGTGCCCAATTCGGAGGGATCTCCCTTCCCGTCTTGGAGACACGACAGAAAGTGAGAGGAAATCTACTCTTCAACAGTTGTTACCCGCACCTCTTGTTCTGGTGACAACTCAAAAACGTTGGATCTCTCTTCACTTCCTGTCCTGGAGACGCAACAGGAAGCGAGAGAAATTCCCTCCTTTGACAGTCATTACCCTCACTTCTCGTTCCGGTGACAACTCTAAGAGTTCTGGTTCTGGCATCTCTCATTCTGGTGACAACTCTATTCACAAAGCCAAAAGGCTGATCATCTGGCTAGCTTCGGGCCCTGGAGCCCTTCGGTTCAGTAGAGCCAAAGGGCTGCTGTGTGGGCTATTCACTATAGCCCGTACTGCTCCCGAAGCTGGCCGAGCCGAAGGCATAAGCCGAGCCGAAGTGACGCCCGAAGCGGGGCGAAAGCCTCGCACCTGACAGCTGGGCGGTGCCAGCCGTGATCTCACGGCTGGCTCCGCACAGTTGCAATGACCGATGTGTACTAACTACATTCTGGATTTAGTGTTTATTCCTCACCTGTACCGATCTCTGCAGGAATCTCCTCCTCCCTATACGGCTCATCAGCCCTCACAATATGTTCTTCTGGCTCCTCTTTGACTTCAATCTTCACCAAACGTCCCCCCTGAATAAGACAACAATGATACAAATGGTCATCTGCGCACCTGTACACCCCTTATGGACCAGAGCCTATTGATTCGGCCACATCATGATCATTATGAATGGCATCAAAGTTATAACATTTGTTTTGGACAGATAAAACTTTATTAAAACATCAATAACACGACTTACCCCCCTTGACAGTTCTGGTAATTCCCAGCTGTCAAAATGACAGCCGGCAGTTGATGTGTAAACGCAGCGGCTGTGATCCTACCATAAACCGTTCACAGGAAGCCTTTGTGTTGGACTGGAGTTGAGTTCGCTTTGTGCCTATCTAGGGAAACCTCACAAGAATGTTGTTCCAGCTACCTGATCGTCTGGAGGGATCTTGTTCTGCTCCTGTGCGGAATTCCATGAATAAAGTCGGCCAGGACAAGTCTCTGGTGTATTTCCATTACTGTAGCCACCTGTAAGAGTCAGACATATAGTTTTATGAACATCAATCTCATCTATGAGACTGCTATAAGGATTGATTGCCAATCAAAGCTATTAACTGATAGACTCCAGTATCAATGCAGGAAGCAGAAGAAGCCGTCCAATCAGAGCAAAGTCCGGGGGACTAACTTAGTAGCGACATATCTGCAGAATGAGCCCTTTCAGACAATGCTAAATCCAACCTTTGTTCCTTGCTGGAGAAGGTCCCCTGACCACAAGGAGGTAGTATTGCCACGGACAACACAAGGCAGCTAGCCCAGAGTTGCCTGGATGCGCCGATCAGTTTCACACGTCTACTATACTGGGTCCTCCACTCCAAACAACATTGAGGACTCCCATATTGCCAAACCCCTTTCACTGAGCTGGCCCTGCTTAAGCTGCTCTCATTGGCCAAGGAGCCCCAAAGCACTCCTTAGTACTAGTAAAGATTCAGAAAATACATTGGGATTGGATGTTATAGGATACTGTACTTGGGCCTGTTGGTCTTTACTACTCACCTGTGCTGATCTCTATAGTAGTTTCCTCCTCTTTTATCCTCGCACATCCTTCTTCCTTCTCAACTTTGATGCTGCTCTGCATCTCTCTGGTATCTCCGGGGGCTTTGAATAAAGACGATCTCTTAATAATTCTGTGCAAAAGGAGAATCTGAGGCTCGTTTCTGCATTTAGTGTTTATAACTCACCTGTGCTGATCTCTTCTTCCTTTTTAACCCTCACATGTTCTTCTTCCTCCATCTCAGTTCTGATGCTTCTCTGAGTGTCTCTAGACTCTGCAAATAAAGAAGAGATTGATGCCCCCTGAACTGAGATGTATGAGAGACCCCAGAGAGTGTGTGTGGGGGGAGACTGGTCACGTCTCTTGGCTGGTAACACACGACATGATGTGAGGAGGAGGAGAGCCGGAGTCTAATAGAGGCTGATGGCTCCTGACTCCCCCCACTAGACACATTCCGTCCCCCCATTACTGTCTACTGACAGAGGAGGGGGGAGAAGAAGAGATTGTTGTAGTGACTGAACAAGGAGAATCTGGGACTCTTCTCTGGGTTTAGTGTTTATTCCTCACCTGTGCCGATCTCTGGAGGGATTTCCAACTCTCTGCCTCTTATATAAGTCTCTTCTTCATCTTTGATTTTAACAACAATCAGGCTCTCAACCTAGGTAAGACAAGACCATATTTTATATTAACATTTAGAGACAGATCAACTTACAATATCAACAAAACAAAGCTTTATTAGTATATCTGTCTTTAATCTGACAGACAATACTGCATTTACGATCTTTACATTTGCATACCTGACCATCCTGTGAGAGCTTATGATTGTCCTGTGTGGAATCCCGGGAATACAGAGGACGGGTCTGAGGGATCTCATGATGTTCCTGTGTGGAATCCCGGGAATACAGAGGACGGGTCTGAGGGATCTCCTGATGTTCCTGTGTGGAATGCCGGGAATACAGAGGACGGGGACATCTCTCTGGGGTATTTCTGTTCCTGGATCCATCTGTAGGAAACACACACTGACTGAATACATTGTTTCTATGTCTTTATATCAGAGGATGTGTGTATCTAGGGGGATCCTCAATACTCAAGAAATTCAAGTCTCCTCTTACCTGGTGATGTGAGGGGCGGCCGGTTCTCCATCATGATGTCCTTGTAGAGATCCTTGTGTCCTTCTAGATACTTCTGACTACCTTAAATACCTGAGCATGTAGATGAAAAATATGTTAATTTATAATAATAAAGCTGAAAACAATAAGATCAAAACTAATTTTAAAGACTAGGCACTGTTGGCCAAAACTGGTTGGTTTTGAATACAAGGCTGAGCGATGTTTAAAGCTCACATATTTAGTTTTAACTGCCACCTTACGAAACAATATGCTTGTCTATGTGATGTTTAATCCCATGGGTGTGGTTACTCGGGGGGGAGCGGGGGTGACCCAGGTTCCAAGGAAGTCTTCTCCTTGGAATCTGTCTCCAGCTCAAGGTTCAACCCAAGCATTGCTTGTCATAGAATGAGCGTGTGAAGTGGAACAATCTGGCCATCACATGTGAACCTCAAAAGTGCTACAGCTTTGGCCAAGTTCATCTTGAGACTGTTGACCCATGTTATTCACAAATAGCATGGCATGACACTTTATGATCAACAATTTGTTAATTCCTGACCATCACACCTGTATGAGCGTGTTGGACATCCCAAGCCAGAACCATGGCCATTAAAATGTAGTTGCCCTCCTCTGTGGCTACACGAGCCATGCTTCTGGGAAGGCTTTCCACATCATTTTGGAGGGTGTTTGCGGGAATGTGTGCTGATTCAGCCAAAATAACTTCTGTGAAGTCAGGTACTAATGTTGAATGAGAAGACCTGGCTCCCAATCGAAGGTCCAATTCATCCCACAGGTGTTCAGTAGGGTTGAGGTCAGGGCCTTGTGAAGGTCACTCAAGTTCCTCCACATCAAAGTAATCAAGCCATGTCTTTATGGAGTTGGCTTTGTGTGTGGTCATGCTGGAACAGAAAAGGGCCTCCACCAAACTATGGCCACAAGGTCGGAGGAGTACAATTGTCTACAATGTCTTGCATTAACTGGACCCTTCGCTAGAATCACCTAAACCCATTTGGTGGGACATGCACAGAGCTTTGACCATATAGCAGATGTGATGATCGGTTGGCCATACATTATACCTCATGGTTACAAAATTATTTTGGCATAGTAAAGATTGTCTCTGGGGCCCCCGGGAGTTCCCGGCAAAAACAAATCTTGTCTTACATAAAATATTACAGCCTATTCCCCGAGCGATCTTTGTACATCCCATTCCCCAGAGTCAAAACCAACTCTATTCGCCAATAGGAGCGTTTCGATAAGACGCATTGCAACTTTCGCCCCCCAGCACCATTAGCCCGGGGCCCCTGCAGAGCTCACCATCTAATGTTCTACTGTTCAGAGGACTTGCAGGAAGATGATGATTTGTTGAGGTGACATGAACCCCCCTCCATCCAGTCCACAGAGAATGCTGGGACCCCCTTCTCTCACAATAAGAATATAGTATTAATATCACCTCCTCCTCTCTGGACACACACTCTCCAGGCTCACAGTGTCAGTAGCTGCCGGAAAGAGAAGAAAATTAGCCTTTTTCCTGTATTTCCACATTTGAGCTACAACAAAATGGCCGCCAGCTTCTAAGGCTCCGCCTTTTTGTTCACTCTGGGCGTGCGCGTCGCCATAGCAACAAAGGCAGCCGCTAGGCCGCGGTAGAACGAGCCCAGGCTGAAGGACTTTCAACAGTGTTGTACTTAGAGCGACCGCTAGAGGTCAAATCATTGCACACAAAATCTTCAGTCAGAAAATAGGCGGCCATTTTCTTGTAGCTCAGACTTGGACACAATCAAATTTGATTTATTATTTCAATGGCTATATGTTGTACAATATCCATTACGGTTTATTTTGTTGCAGGTTGTTTATAATAAACGGAATTGAGAGTGTTGACGCCATTTTGTTGTAGCCCAATGGAAGAGAAGGAGCAAGTCTGGTAGTGTGGGAACTATCCTGCTGGGACTGTGAGGCTGGAGAGTGTGTGCCCAGGGAGGAGGACGTAATAAAGTCTTCTTTTTATGAGAGAAGCTACTTAGAGAGAATGGGGTGCCAGCACTCTCTGTGGACTGGATCCCCATGTCACCCCAACAAATCATCATTTTCCACCAAGTCCTCTGATGTATAGACATTAGATGGTGAGCTCTGCGGGTCAACTTGCGTGACATGCTAAGGACACACCTGCATAAACCTACACGAGTGTTTGGCTATGTGAACCTTACTAGCCAACCATAACTCTAAGTTCGGGCTCAGACATATTGAGCTTCAAGATTATTTAGGAGGATCTGTACAAGGACGTCAGGATGGAGAACCGGCCGCCCCTCACATCACCGGGTAAGAGGAGACTTTCATTTCTTGAGTATTGATGATCCCCCTAGATACACACATCCTCTGATATAAAGACATAGAAACAATGTATTCAGTCAGTGTGTGTGTTTCCTACAGATGGATCCAGGAACAGAAATACCCCAGAGAGATGTCCCCGTCCTCTGTATTCCCGGGATTCCACACAGGAACATCAGGAGATCCCTCATACCCGTCCTCTGTATTCCCGGGATTCCACACAGGAACATCAGGAGATCCCTCAGGCCCGTCCTCTGTATTCCCAGGATTCCACACAGGAACATCAGGAGATCCCTCAGGACATCAAGAGATCCCTCAGGAACATCATGAGATCCCTCAAGATGTCAGGAACATCAGGAGATCCCTCATACCCGTCCTCTGTATTCCCGGGATTCCACACAGGAACATCAGGAGATCCCTCAGGCCCGTCCTCTGTATTCCCAGGATTCCACACAGGAACATCAGGAGATCCCTCAGGACATCAAGAGATCCCTCAGGAACATCATGAGATCCCTCAAGATGATCAGGTAGATGGAATTACTAATATTCACTGTACAAAGAATGGCGGAATAAGAATTTAGACTGTGATTTGCAATGAGGCAGGAGAGTGAATCAGGTTCCTGTCTGAAGCAACCACCTAAGACTTGTTCAGGTTTGGTTTTCTTATCTAGTTTTCTTTTATTACTTTGGATCTTTGGCAGTAGTGTGTCTCTTTCATATTTGCTATCAATCTACTTCCGGACCCTGCCGCTGGAGAGCCAATGGGAAGTCCATATATTTTATTACTGTTGCTGATCACATATGTAATTAACCCCAAAGACTCCAAACCACACCAAATAAGAGATTCCTTTGGCTTCATTCCTTTGCATTACTATGTCACATAATGTTCCAAGCCCTGATGAAAGGGAGTGTTGTTGCTCCCGAAATGCATTGGCTGGTTTTCCTTTGTGATTGAGATATTTAAGGCTTTTTGGACGTCTTTCCCCTTAGAGTAGAATTCCAGTGTGTCCCCCTGCACTCTTTACAGCTTCATGGACCAGTAGCAATGGTGGTGCTTGGAATGATAATCATGGATGGTGCTGTGCCGATCAGTCAGTAGAGAACGAAGATCACCAGCACTCAGAGAATGATGTTCAAAATTTTGAACATCATTCTCTGAGCGCTGGTGATCTTCGTTTTCTATTTACCCATTGGGGGGCCATTCAATATATGTCTGCAGCCAATGGGAAGTGTCTAGGTTACTCAGATAGTGGTGTGGGCAACTGAAGTACTCTTCTCATCAGCAGTCCAGAAGATAGAAGACTTGCGTTATGCAAGTGTGTTATGTGAACAAGGATTCAGGTCATTAACATTGGCTTTCTAGATATTTTGTTATATCATAACTATCATATTCTACTTTAATGCGTGGTCCAGCTTTGGTCCATAGAATTGACTTTTTGTTCTTTAATCAATTTCATGCTGAACAGCTGATTAAAGTTGAAGTGAAGGAAGAAGCAGAAGAGCCATACTTGAGGGAAGATGACCAGTACAAGGAGGAGGATATTCGGCAAGAGATTGGCACGGGTGAGTGACTGTGGAACCGCTGTTTTCCCCGCAGGCATCTTGGAAGCTGAAGTTTATTTGGTTCATACAATTCATGGAAAAGGTGGACCAAGGACAGCCAGGCTGGGGAGGAAACAGCTAGGTAAGCCAGGAAATTAGGTGGCCCTATGTCTCATTGCATTCCAACTTTAGTCTAGAGCTCAGCAAGTATCTTCCTCTTAGAACGCCATAAGTCCTCCCAACATAGTTACATGAAGGAAGGGTGTAGATATCCACCATGTTCCTATACCAGAGAAACTACTGAAACTGAGAGGAAATCTCTCCAACGTGAGGTGGATCTCCTCTTAGATAATTGTGACCAGAACAAGTGTCCCCATTGGAAGATTTACCCTCATATCCTTTTCCACCACGGAAAGGGATTCCGACAGAAGTCCGACCTGGCTAATCACCAGAAAAGTCCACACATCCGAAAACCCATTTTCGTGTTCGGAATGTGAGAAGAGTTTTACCATAAGGCCACTTTTATCTCGCAACAGAGAACTCACACGGGAGAGAGGCCATTTGCGTGTTCGGAATGCGGGAAAAGCTATACTAGCAAATCCCATCTTGTTTCACGCACCAGGTCCTTCACTTGAGGGACAACCCATATACTTTTCCTCAGTGTTGCAAATGTTTTACCAGGAAGGGAGGCCTTACGTCCCACCAGAGGTCACACACGGGTGAGAAGCCATTCCCGTGTTCGCAATGTGGGAAACAGTTCACAAAAACTCAACCCTTGACTCGCATCTCGGCTCCCACACGTGATAGGATGTGGACGTCTTTAAGGTGCCAATTTCTGGAGGGTTCAGGTGACCACGAGCACCCTCCTTCTTCTGCATTGGCTGGATAGACTTAGAAACCACCTAAGAGGGTGAACACTTGCTAGATTTCAAAATGCGTAACTCTTATGTATACGTTCATTGGGTTCTACTACAGAACAGTAGTCAACCAACACACTGTGCAGGCGTGACTTCTCCTAGCTTTACAAGATCCCATGTCAGGCAATGATGGCCATATGGAGCAGGACCATGCGGGGTCAGTCCCAAGGCTGCAGATACCAAACACATTCCCTGGAATATTATTTAATAAACAACAAATAGACTATGAGATGGTTGTCGTGTCACTTTCTTATTGCTCATCGTGCAAGGATTCGCCGTCAGATTTAAAGAAAGGAGACTACGGGGCTGACACCACATATCAATGCACCGCATCCCAACGTTTGTTTGAAATACCTTCCTAAACCATGAACAAGTAGATGGGACTTTTTAAGGTGATGGCCCTTTAAGTGGGCCGTGATGCTGGCGGCTAGTAGGAGGGGCTCCTGTTCATTCTGCACGCGGGGGGCGCCTGGGCTGTGCATTGTAAAATTGGGGTGTATTTCTCCGCCTGGGAGCTTCAGGTCCTTCGTACAGCCGCCCATAGAACTCAGTGGGCCCCAGGTGCCCATGTACACACATACATATATGGGTTGAACCAGATGGACCGGTTTGGGGGGTCTTTAGTGCATTTATAAAGGTTTGGGGGGTCTTAATAAAGATATGTAAAGGTTTGGGGGGTCTTTAGTACATATATATAGGTTTTCATGGTCTTTAGTACATATATATAGGTTTTCATGGTCTTTGGTAAATAGTCATTAAAGTACATTTTAGCATGTGTGCGCAAAAAAACTGGTCCAGAAGGGAATGGGTGGACATCCTACTATTTACTAAGCCAGAGCCACCACTAGAGGGAGACCATCTTCTGTAAAAGAGGAGGAAGTAGTCTCAAAACAGGAAGTGTGGCGGCCATTTTCTTGTAGCTCCCTTTGTACGCCCTGGTACACTCTAAATATGAAACTTCAAAGAGTTTTATGTGGAACGGGAATTAAGTCTTTTCTTTTTGGCAAAATGAAGGGTCACGTTCATAGAAATGTAAGAAATTTTTATAATTAAGTACATGTCTTGAGGTATCCTCATTGCAGGAGGGAGCCATTTTGTTGTAGCCCAGAGGAGGAAGGGAGGAGAGATTATTATAGTTCAACAAGCAACTTCCCGATGTGAGGCTGGAGAGTGTGTGTCCAGTGAAGAGGAGGTAAAAATAATAATACGGTTTTACCATGAGAGAAGGGGGTCCTAGCACTCTTTGTGGATTGGATGTGGGGGTCATGTCACCTCAACAAACCATCATCTTCCTGCAAGTCCTTTGATGTGTAGAGCATTAGATGGTGAGCTCTGCTGGGGACGTGGATGATCATGACGCTGGGGACATATTCCCGTGTCTGGCTATATAGAGATCCATCCCCTGAAATCCTCTGTGGTCAGAAGTTGAAGCTCTGATTTTCGGCTTCATTCTCTAAGTCCTTACGTCTATAGCTTGAGTCAAGAAGAGGCTATACTAAGTTCAGCCAAGATTCACATCGACGTAAGGCTTTGGCCCCTTTCACACGGGTGCGTCTGTTCCGTCTCCATTGATGGAACACCTGTGGAGTCGGATCAGAATTGCAACAGATCTCCCATATGTCACAACTTGATATTTCCTCCATCTTGTGTTGTAAAATGGACCCATGTTGTCTGGACAGCCAGATGTCAAGAAACATGTGTCCGCCTCTATGCGCCATCAGTTCTGGTCCAGTCCGGGTGGTGGCTCCACACTGCGAGTCTCTAGTGTTAAACTCTACAGCCACCCGAATCAATGTTACCTACTAGTCCTAAACCTGCTAAAAATGTATTCCAACATTGTGTGTACGTTCCTTCCTCATTAGCAGAATGCCAGAAGGCTGAAATTATGTCTCTCCATAGATTGTATTCCAGTGGTTGACATGGTTGGCTTTTTCTCTTCGGTACAGCCTAGAAGAGCGCCTTTTATGGAGTTGTCTTCCTGAGCAAAGAAGTCTGACGCAGCTTTACAGGCCAGCTTTGGATCTGGCGATTAGGAGGACACAAGGATCTCTACAAGGACGTCATGATGGAGAACCGGCCGCCCCTCACATCACCGGGTAAGAGGAGACTTTCATTTTTTGAGTATTGAGGATCCCCCTAGATACACACATCCTCTGATATAAAGACATAGAAACAATGGATTCAGTCAGTGTGTGTGTTTCCTACAGATGGGTCCACCTAGATAAACCACCAAGTCTTCTTCTTCTTCCCTCTCCCATCTCTAGTCACAGACACGGAAGACACAAGAGAAGCTCAGATAGACTTCAAACCTGAGGAGGAGGAAGAAAGACTTGTGATGATTAAAGAGGAAGAAATTCCTGTAGAGATCGGCACAGGTGAGTAAAAAACACTAAATCCAGAAAAGAGTCCCAGATTCTCCTTGTTCAGTCACTACAACAATCTCTTCTTCTCCCCCCTCCTCTGTCAGTAGACAGTAATGGGGGGACGGAATGCGTCTAGTGGGGGGAGTCAGGAGCCATCAGCCTCTATTAGACTCCGGCTCTCCTCCTCACATCATATCCAAGAGACGTGACCAGTCTCCCCCCACACACACTGTCTGGAGTTTTCACACATCTCAGGAGGCTTCAGTCTCTTCTGTATTCACAGATTCCGGAGATGATGGAGCCACTCAGAGGGACGTCAAAACTGAAGAGGAGGAAGAAGAAGAGACAAAGACTGAAGAGGAGGAAACTTCTTTGGAGATCGGCACAGGTGAGTAATAAAAGCTACAAAGAGAACACGCTTGAGTCAATAGAAGGATCCTTCCTTTTGTCTGTTAGGAAACATACATCAATTAAAGATGAGGTGAAATCCATAAGTTTGGCGGGCAGGAGATCACTGGCTGATTACTGGGTCCTTGTTCCAGGTTGTCAAAAGGATGTCACCAGCACACCATTTAAGTGAAATCAACACAGTACTGGAATTACAGTACTCCATGAATAAATGGACTTGTGTTGATTTCGCTTAAGTGGTGTGCTGGTGACATCGTTTTGAAACCTTGTATATCTTCACGGCACCATCTGTGGTCACTACGAGCACCCACCAGGATTTCAAGGAACATCCTATAGCGGTAAGGAATGCAGCAAGGCAACGATATATGACTTGTTCCAGGTTGGAACTACACTAGGTAGTGATCACATCCCTAGAGCCAGCACTGTGTTAAACAAGTAATGGGCCTTCTTTATTTTCACCCTCAATGGTGTATTTGGTTCCTTGGGGCTTCTTTATTTTCACCCTCACTGGTGTATTTGGTTCCTCTGGGCTTCTTTATTTTCACCCTCACTGGTATATTTGGTTCCTCTGGCCTTCTTTATTTTCACCCTCACTGGTATATTTGGTTCCTCTGGCCTTCTTTATTTTCACCCTCACTGGTATATTTGGTTCCTCTGGCCTTCTTTATTTTCACCCTCACTGGTATATTTGGTTCCTCGGGGCTTCTTTAATTTTACCCTCACTGATGTATTTGGTTCCTTTGACCTTCTTTATTTTCACCCTCACTGGTGTATTTGGTTCCTTCTGTGTTGGTTCCTCCAAAAACTGAACATGGTGGACATGGACTTTGTACATTTGTGAGGCTTTGTCCTAGCAGTCTAATATTGTCTTATTGTCAAAATGTGCTGTTTCAATGTTCTGACAACTCTTGGTTTTCTCCAGATGGACAATACAACTGGAGTAACCCGGAGGTCCACCAGATGATCTCTCGAGACGGTGAAATAAATTGTAACGACACCACATCCGATTCTTCTGAAGAAAGCCCCATGACCCCCATTCTTCATCCAGAACTTCAAAGCCTTGACCTATCACCTGATCCCTCCACTAATGGTGGTGGTTTTCCTCGTCCTTCTTCTCGGGTCACCCATCATGGAGATGAACGAGAAGGTCACGTTTATTCCAAGCACGGTGAATGTTTTGCCAGGAAGGAAGACCTCGCTTCGTGCCAGAGATCTCAGGAACGAGAGAAGCCGTATCCATGTTCGGAATGCGGGAAATGTTTCTCTCGGAGATCGCACCTCCTCACCCACGAGAAGGCTCACACCGGGGAGAAGCCTTATTCATGTTCTGAATGTGGGAAATGCTTCACCCGGAGAGACAATCTTTTAATACACCAGAGGTCTCACACGGGGGAGAAGCCGTATTTGTGTGTGGACTGCGGGAAATCTTTTAGCGGCAGAGGCAGTCTTCTCATCCACCAGCGAACGCACACGGGGGAGAAGCCGTATACCTGCTTGGAATGCGGACGGTGCTTCTCCCAAAAACGGGAAGTCATCCGACACCAGAGGACTCACACCGGAGAGAAGCCCTATAGCTGCCGCGAATGCGGCAAACTTTTTTCCTTCAATTCAGACCTTACCAAGCACAAGAGGGTCCACACCGGGGAGAAGCCGTATCCGTGCTCCGAGTGCGGGAAGAGGTTTTCTCACAAAGGGAATCTCGTGTCCCACCAGAAGACCCACACGGGGGAGAAACCCTACTCCTGCTCCGAATGTGGCAAATGTTTTTGTCAGAAGAAGGAGCTGATTATACACCAGAGAACACACACGGGCGAGAGGCCGTTCTTCTGTCCCGAGTGCGGGAAAGGTTTTTCTCAGAAGGGGAATCTGATCACGCATTCCAAGACCCACAACGGGAAGAAGTCGTATGCGAGTCCCTGATGTGGAGAACGTTTTACCTGAAAGATTGAGGGCAGAGAACGTTTTACTGAAAGATTGAGTCAGGGTTGGAGTTGGGGGTTGATACCCTCAAGAATGGGGGGGATGGACCATTTTCCCATTCGGAATAGAGTGAACGTTTTTTACAAGGGTCATCTCTTAAACATGAGAAGTTCATATGAAGAAGGCGGTTCCATGATTGGAATATAGAGGGGAGACTGGAAGGTATTCTGTGACATTTGAAGAGTAATCCATCCAACCAATGTTTTGTGTTTTACATAGAGGGGGGAAGGATTTGAACCTCTGTATAAAATTGTGAGTGCCAGACCACAGAACCGAGGGGTCTATTTTCATAAAAATTCCCAGAGACGTTTGCCCTGCGAATCTCTTCGAACGTTCATTCGATGCGAATGGAGGCGAAAATTAAGCTTTTTCCAGGTGGAATGTAATGTGATGCCGCTATATGGCCACTAGATGGAGCTGATGAGCACAGGCAGCGCATATTTATTTCCGATGCTGCTCAGCTTCACCTGCTGGCCATATTGCAGTATTACATTACATTACAATCAACCTAAAAAGAGAATTCACTAAGAACGTACGTTGTTGCCTCTATTCACACCAATCGAACATTCACAGATATTGGAGAGCAAATGGAGCCCAGAACCTCCAGAAACAATAATGGTTGTAAACATCCATATTCAGATTCTACAATTCATATACAAACAAATATATATGAAAGGTGGAATTTTATTATAGAGATTTACACTTTTTGTATCTGTCTTGTAGCCCTGAAGAAGGGGGAGATGTTTGAGCCCCTGAAACGCGTTGGCTTTTTTTCTTGAGGTTTTCTTGTTATGAACTAACACCAATATTCCAAGATTCGGGATCTTGGTTCTTTGGTCTGGCGCTCACAGTAGACTTTATACGCGGATTCCAACTTTGGGTCCCCCTGAACAACCCGCGCAGCAATTGGGCCCTGTATGAATCCCCATGGCGCACCATACCGGTTTATGCCCCTCTGAACCATCCACATTCCATCCAGTCAAGAAATCTTGTCACTAGCACACCTGAGGTATCATCATTGGGAACTTCCTTTATTGATGTCCAATCAGCGTGTCAGAACCAGCAAAAGTGCAACGTTTCAGAGCCACACGGGGCCCCTTCATCAGGCAACGGGGCCATAGGGGCCTTGTGTGGCTCCGAAACGTCACACTTTTGCATCTCCATTTGATTTCCCTTCACAATGCATTCCTGTGACCGGAATGAGAAATGAGAGGTAGGGAGGTTTCACTGATACAGTAAGACACCAATAGAAGATAAGAGACCGAGGCTCCGACCTTTCCCCATGCTACTGTTCGCTGTCTCTGTCTGCATTAGAAAGATTTATCATCAGTTCCTGTCCCTCTGACTCCCTGTCTCTGGATAGGAAGTGAAAGGAAATGATTCCCTGTTTTTTGGAGAGGAAGTGAGAGGTCAAGACTCCCTGCCTCTGGGACAGGAAATGGGATGACATGACTCCCTGCCTCTGTGATAGGAAGTGAGGGGACATGACTCCCTGCCTCTGGCACAGGAAGTGAGAGGACATGACTCCCTGCCTCTGTGATAGGAAGTGAGGGGACATGACTCCATGCTTCTGGGACAGGAAGTGAGTGGAAATGACTCCCTGTTCATGGGACAGGAAGTGAGTGGGAATGACTCCCTGCCTTTGAGACAGGAAGTGGGATGGAATTACTTCCTGCCTCTGGAACAGGAAGTGAGAGGGAATGCCTCCCTGCCCCTGAGACAGGAGGTGAGATGAAATGTCTCAATTAGAGGACATGACTCCCTGCCTGTGCCACAGGAGGTGAGAGGACATGATTTCCTGCCTCTGACACAGGAGGTGAGAGGACATGACTTCTTGTCTCCGGGGCAGGAAGTGAGAGAAAAGTACTCTCTGCCTTTGGGACAGAAAGTGAGTGGGAATGATTCCATGTTTCCATGATTCCTTCTGGCACAGGAAATGACTCCCTGTCTCTGGGACAGGAAGTAGGAGGTTCTAGTTCCCACTTTCTCAAAAACTTACAAGAATTTTTGGCTTTTACTATAAAAGCAAACATAACACTAATAAATTCCTAATTTTTGTCAAAGATTTCTCTCTTTGCTGGTGATTTTGTTGTGTTAGTAGATTTGGAGGAAGTCCGCTATAAATTGAGATAAGATTGGACAGCAGACAACCTGCAGCGCCAGAACCCTTCTAACAGCGCTGGCGGCCCTCAAAATACCCCTCCTGAGGTTCGAGAAGAGTTGGCGATCATGTCCTACAATACAGTGCGCTGTGTTGACCAATCCCTCACCAGGCTTGAAGAACATCACCTCGTGGAGGTCAGAGGGGTGGCATGAGAAATGTAGAAGTCATCTCTGGACCAATGCTGTATGGCCACCTCATTCTATCTTGTGATAGAGTTTCCGAGCCCCCGCTGGCCAGACCCTTGCCGTCTTGTTTTGCTGATGCCACCACTGGAGACTCGACTCCTGAGAGGACCCTGCCACTGGAGACTCGACTCCTGAGAGGACCCCCCACTGGAGACTCGACTCCTGAGAGGACCCCACCACTGGAGACTCGATGACTCGACTCTTGAGAGGACTTCGCCACTGGAGACTTGACTCCTGAGAAGACCCTGCCACTGGAGACTCGACTACTGAGAGGACCCTGCCACTGGAGACTCGACTCCTGAGAGGACCCTGCCATTGGAGACTCGACTCCTGAGAGGACCCTGCCACTGGAGACTCGACTCCTGAGAGGACCCCCCACTGGAGACTCGACTCCTGAGAGGACCCCACCACTGGAGACTCGACTCCTGAGAGGACCCTGCCACTGGAGACTCGACTCCTGAGAGGACCCCCCACTGGAGACTCGACTCCTGAGAGGACCCCACCACTGGAGACTCGACTCCTGAGAGGACCCCGCCACTGGAGACTCGACTCCTGAGAGGACCCCACCACTGGGCGGCCAGTAGGTAGCGTCCATGTTAAGCTGGCAGTGACTTGCACACCCTGCCGTCTGCTTCCAGAAAAGTTGAGAAAACTCGGGACCGCAGTGTCACATGACCACAGCTTTAGGGGAATAAAAAGGGCCAGGGCTTCTTCAAAGTTGGAGGCCACAACAAAAAGACCTCCTGGCCATAATTCCTGATTTCTATTTCTGTCCAACTGGGAGATGTCGGTGGCCCAGGAACTCAGCACAGGGATGGTGGGAGCTCCTCATAATGGGCACAGCAGGTGTGCAGACCCGGGAACTCAGCACAGGGATGGTGGGAGCCCCTCATAATGGGCACAGCAGGTGTGCAGACCAAAGAACTCGGCACAGGGATGGTGGGAGCCCCTCATAATGGGCACAGCAGGTGTACAGACCCGGGAACTTGTAACATTCCCCATACAGGACAATCCTTCCTAGGGTATATTATAGGGGTGGTTTGGGCAGGGGGGAGGAGTTTGATGTGTTTCCTATAGCAACCAACTAGACAATTCCTCTTATATAATGTTAGCTGCAGTCTTATTGGCTGTAACATTTGGTAACGTCACAGAGGAAACTTTTTTTTTTTTTTATGAATACTGACATTTGATATTTTAATCACCATTGTATTATTTTATATTTGATTCTATTTGATTAAATCTCAATTACATTATAATAAAATTAACTCAGACTGGATACAAGAAGACCCTCCTCAGCCCTGAGGAGCTACTGCTCTCTTCTCTATCATAACTATTCCCCTCCCACTTCCGCCCTGTGGCTCCGCTGTGTGTTTCACGGCACTCCAGCGGCTTCCTGGTTGCCATAGTGACGCCCAGCCAACATAGTATTGCTTATTCACTCGCCACTAGAGGGCGACCGCCTCTCTTGTGAGAGGAGGAAGTGTCCCCAGTGCAAGAGGGGCGGCGGCCATTTTTTTGTAGACCACATTAAGAAAAAGGAGGGGGAATTTCAGCTCAAAAAGCCTCCTGCTGGGGGTCTGAGGCTGTAGAGTGTGTGCCCAGTGAGGAGGAGGTAATATTAATACTATATTCTTATTTTGAGAGAAGGGGGTCCCAGCACTCTCTGTGGACTGGATGGGGGGTGGGGAATCATGTCACCTCAACAAATCATCATCTTCCTGCAGGTCGTTTGATGTGTAGAACATTAGATGGTGAGCTCTGCTGGGGCCGGGGTTGATGGCGCTGGGGGCGTATTGAGCATCAGTGCGTCTTATGAATGGGAGGAAAGTCAGATTTAGAAATGACTCCCTCCTGGCAGTTAGAGGACAGGAAGGGTCTATGGGTCACCACCTGGCCAGTATTTTACTGATTTGGCCGATAATAAGGGTATAGGAAAGAGATGATAGGGCCGGAATGTTTCCCCAGACGAGGCGGGAGTAACCTAGGGTTGCCACCTGTACAGGATTCACTCGGACAGTTCGGGTTTTGAATGCTGTGTTCGGGTTTCATGGCAGCAGAAACCCGGACACAAGATGTCAGGCAGACCAGGGGCAACCAAAATTAAGATTGGGGTTACTGGCCCCCCCCCTGAAAATAGTCTCTACTGTGATATTTACATATGAATGGGTGGCACTTTTTACTTATGAACAAGCCGCGACTCATTCTCCCACAAAAATGTCTGTGCGTCGCTAGAGTGTTCGGGTTTTGCTTGAAGAAAAGGTGGCAACCCTAGAGTAACCCCTTGTTTGGTATTAAATGTGGTCTACAGCACTTTGGCTGCCCTGATGTTTGGGGTGCCATACCAAGCAAGTTTTGGCCGCAGCTTCCGGTGTCTTCCTATTGGTCCATCAAGCAGCCATTCTGGCCAATGGGACTGATCTGGAGGTCCAGGGCCATCTCTGAATGCTACCAGGACTTGCTCGTTATTCCACCCCAGGATTCGGGTCACCCGTACTATATACCATGATGTGCCTATAAGATTTAGTTCCTTCTTTATACTTCTGAAGCCTACTGAGTACCTTGATGGTGCTGATCAGTGTCACAACGGGAACAAGACTAATAAAGTTAAGTCTTATTTAAAAAAAAAAAAACTTCAGCCAAAATGTTTTTTTCTCCTTGGTTGATAGAACTGAATCTTATATCTCCATAAATATACATTATATTGATTCTTAATATGAGCTCAATTCGGTTACATTCGTGATTTTGTTGCAGTGAGGGCTCCACGAAACAGCCTTTACCCTACATGCGGAAACAGATATACGAAGAGTGTATATAAGGACACAAGGACCTCTACAAGGACGCCATGATGGAGAACCGGCCGCCCCTCACATCACCGGGTAAGAGGAGACTTTCATTTCTTGAGTATTGAGGATCCCCCTAGATACACACATCCTCTGATATAAAGACATAGAAACAATGTATTCAGTCAGTGTGTGTGTTTCCTACAGATGGATCCAGGAACAGAAATACCCCAGAGAGATGTCCCCGTCCTCTGTATTCCCGGGACTCCACACAGGAACATCAGGAGATCCCTCAGACCCGTCCTCTGTATTCCCGGGATTCCACACAGGAACATCAGGAGATCCCTCAGGAGGATCAGGTAGATAGCACTGAGGGTCTTAACCGGAGTTTAATGGGCTGTATTTAAATGTAATATCTGCATTGTTTTTTTTGTAAGAATGAGAATCGTAAAGTTGAAGTGAAGGAAGAAGCACAAGATCCGTCTATGAGGGTTGATGAGTCGTGTAAGGAGAGGGAGATCATTCCAGAGATCAGCACAGGTGAGTAATAAACACTAAATCCAGAGAAGAGTCCCAGATTCTCCTTGTTCAGTCACTACAACAATCTCTTCTTCTCCCCCCTCCTCTGTCAGTAGACAGTAATGGGGGGACGGAATATGTCTAGTGGGGGGAGTCAGGAGCCACCAGCCTCTATTAGACTCCGGCTCTCCTCCTCACATCATGTCATTGTGTGTTACCAGTCAAGAGAGACGTGACCAGTCTCCCCCCCACACACATTCTCTGGGGTCTCTCATACATCTCAGTACAGGGGGCTTCACTTTCATCTTTATTCACAGATAACAGAGACACTCCGAGAGAAGTCAAAGCTGAAGAGGAAGAAGGACATGTGAGGATTAAAGAGGAGGAAGTTCCTCCAAAGATCAGCACAGGTGAGTCATAAACACTGAAAGAAAACAAATATTAACCCTTTTGTGACGGGAGACTACACTGTACGTCCCCGCCACTAAGTGCCCAAATGACTGATCATATACAGTCATGCTGTAGGTATTAGTGATCAATGGGGCTGAGTATTAGTGATGTCTATGGTTGACCTTAGTGATAAGGTAGGGGGGTTGACCCAGGTGATAAAAGGGGTATTAACAATGTCCAGAGATGACCCGGGTGATGGAGGGGTATTAGTGATCAAAGGGGTTGACCCGGGCGATAAGGGGGGGTGTTTTTTTTAGAATTTCTAGTTGTAGATCTCCAGGTTTGGGGACCCAAAGGAGGGAGAGAATGTGGGATGAAAATGTATCTTTACGAAGGCTTTCCCTTTAGAGCTTTTTCTACTGATAAACATAAGCTTCATTGTTTGAACCAGCAGTGGGGCAACTACAAATCCCATGAGGCATTGCAAGACCCTGCCATCCAGAGGCATGACTCCCAAAGGCAGGTGCATGATGGGATTTTAAGTTTCACCACAGCTGGCGGGCCAGGGTTTGCCTACCTTTGGTTGGAACCTTCTGACTTACCTTTGTTCATTTCCTCTAGATGAAGAACACAACAACCGGGGCAAAGGTCTCATCACCACGTTAGATGGAGAAGAAGAAAATGGTGACTTTCCAGCAGAGGCTTCAGGAGAAAGCCAACCCGTTGCCCCAACTCTCCATCCCTTGCATGCCGCGGCAGATCCCTCGTCACATGGGGGGATTGTTCCCCAGCCCTTACTTCCTGTTACTCATCATAGAGAAGATGGAGCTTTCACGTGTCCTGAATGTGGTGAATGTTTTACCCAGAGGGAGGACCTCACCTCCCACCAGAGAAGTCACAGAAGGAAGAAGCCGTATTCATGTCTCGAGTGCGAGAAATGTTTTTGTACGAAGAAGAAACTCGATAGACATCAGAAAACTCATTGGGCTCAGAAGCCGTATTCATGTTCTGGATGCGGCAAAGGTTTTTCCGAAAGGTGGGAACTGGTCAAACACCAGAGGACTCACTTAGAGGAGAAGCAATTTTCATGTACGTTATGCGGGAAATCTTTCTTCCAGAGAGAATATCTTCTGTCGCATCAGATGACTCACACGGGAGAGAAGCCGTACCCGTGTTCCGAGTGTGGGAAACGCTACGTCGACCGTACGCGTCTTAATAAGCACCAGAGGAGTCACTCGGGAGAGAAGCCGTATTCGTGTTCAGTGTGCGGGAAATGTTTTTTTAACAAATCGGGTCTCAACTACCATGAGAAAACTCACACAGGGGTGAAGCCTTATTCGTGTTCAGATTGCGGGAAGTGTTTTTACCAGAAATCCAAGCTGGTTTTACATCAACGATCTCACACGGGGGAGAAGCCATATTCATGTCCCGATTGCGGGAAATGCTTCTCCCTCCGAGGGCAACTTATCGCCCATCGGAAGACTCACACGGGGGAGAAGCCGTTTTCCTGTTCGGAATGTGGCAAGTGTTTTTACCAGAACGCCAAGCTCGTTTTGCACCAGAGGACCCACACCGGGGAGAAGCCGTACTCGTGTCCTGAGTGCGGGAGAGGTTTTTCTGAGAGGTCCGCTCTTACCAAACATGGACGGGTCCATACGGGGGAGAAGCCGTTTTCATGTTCGGAGTGCGGGATGAGTTTCGCTCGAAAAAGGAGTCTGGTGAAACACACGAGCGTTCATGTAGGTGAGGAGGGGTTTGGAATGGGGTGAAGTTTTGGATGAGTGGGATAGAATGTGTTTTGGGGTTTCAAGGGACCCCCTTCCATCATGGCTATAAAGTAGGGATGCACTGGTATTGGTATAGGTGCCGGTGTTGAGTATTTGGGCGAGTACTCGTACTCACCCAAATGTTACCGATGCCTAGCCCGATACCAGAACTTCCCGTATCAGGAAGCCGGGCAGAGAGTCATTATACGCTGCCGGGCTTCCTGATTGATTGGTGAAGCCGGCCCCATGCTCCCTCCTCTCCAGGGATCACAGAGATGGCTTCCAAGCCAATCAGGAAGCTGGGGGGCAGGTAATGATTCATTCATTAATGATTCACTTGGTGATGAGGGAGCATGGTGCCGGCTTCCCGGCCAATCAGGAAGCCAGGCACCGAGTCATTATCCCCCCCCTCACCTGGTGATGAGGGAGCATGGAGCCGGCTTCCTGCTTGGTGTATAATGAATTGCCGCCTGGCTTCCTGATTGGTCGGGAAGCTGGCCTATCAGGAACCCAGGGGGTGAGTCATTAACCGACCTTCCCCCCCCCCGCCGGCTTACTGATTGGCCAGAAAGCCAGCTTCATGCTTCCCCGTCACCTGGTGACGAGGGAGCACGGAGACGGCTTTCCTGCTAATCAGGAAGCCGGGCGGCGAGTCCTTACATGCCGCCCAGCTTCCCTAATGGGATTTCCGGTATCGGTATCGGCGAGGACCGGGAAAAAAATAATGGTATTCGTACTCGATACCGAAAAACCGGTATTGGTGCATCCCTACTATAAAGTTCATTGTACATCATAACGAACTGTCAATATATATAGAAAATGTGTTTGTATTGCTGGCTGTGTGTTGCGGCTCCTCCCAAGAGCCAACCCTCTGCTTGTATCGGGGCTGATGTGGGCTCCATGATGTGAGTGTGTGCATTGTCCTGTAGTACAACATACAGTCTCACACCTATGTGAATATATGTGAATTTCTTACAGAAGCCCCTTCTAACCGAAATCCACCAGAGAGATGTCCCAATCCACTGAGATCCCAGGATTCCACACAGGAAGGCCACAAGGTCCCTCAGGATCATCAGGTAGATGGAATGGAGGGTCCGAAAGTACTTTTGTAGTTTTGGATGGAGTAAGGATCGTGCCCCATTAGCTTCTACGGTGGCCAGGGAGGCTGATGAAATGACCAACCTAAACCTGCAAGTGATCAGAGTGCGTCACTTCCAGGTTCATTCTAGATAGGGAAGATCAGCCGATGATCGTTCGCCGGGCTCTCTCCTTTCCGACACCCGCCATGGTCGTCCTAGGCACCCAGGAGGGACTGGCGTGCCTCGGATTCATGGCGAGTTGTTCCACCACTCTCTCCTAAAGCTATCAGACTTACAATGCCTCATGGGATTTGTAGTTTCACCACAGCTGGAGGGGCGGAGCTTCGTATGCAGTCATTGTAAAACCACGTCTTTTGCTTTTATTGCAGGCTAGGCAACCACCTTGAGCTCCGAGCCTTCAAATCCTAGAGCTTGTTCCTGCACGTCAGACCCAGTTTACTCCACAATCTCCAGATTTATATTTGATGTTGTTCTCCAATGTGCAGGGTGAAAATGTGACTCCCGTTAAAGTGGAAGTGAAGGAAGAAGCAGAGGTGACGGCTGTGAGGGGCGATGAGCCGTGTAAGGAGGAGGAGGAAAGTCCTTCAGAGATCAGCACAGGTGAGTATTTGTGATATAGTCCGTTGCCTCCACACTGTCTTGTCCATTGAGGGACACAGGAAGTCTGTGGCCTTTGGGTTGTACTGCCGCCTACAGGAGGATTGGACACTGGCAAACAGAAAAAAAAGGAGAGGCCAGCCCAGAATAACGCCTCCTTCTCCCAGCATGCATCAGTTTTTTGCTAGTGTCCTAAGAGGATGGACATCTTCAGCTTTGCTTTGTTAAAGACTAACTCCAGTCAAGACGGACTCTTCTAGATCTGTGAGTGCTTCTTGGCAACAGGCTACTGTTTCCCAGAGTTGGGGGGTTGCCACATGGTCTTCACATGTTCTCTAAGTTCTGCCTCATTGACCTCAGGCATGAGGTCCTTCAGTTGGCTCTTTGAGATGCAGGTTGCCCCCATTTTCAGTTGATTTCTTGGGCTTCTTAGTGGCTGTTTTCCTTCTTGCCCATCCCTCATGTGGACTGGTTTTGGACGTCCCAAGGGGTAAAGACTTCCTGTGCCCCTCAACGGGCAAGAAAGAAAATTTAATTTTTGGACTCTCCATAAAATCCTGTTCTTGGAATGTATTGAGGTGGGTGGATCTGGAATGTTAGTACTGCTCACCAGTAGAAGTCTGGCTTCTCCCTTGGCTTCCATCTTAATCAAGGCTTCAGTCTATGAGTCCACCACTACGCCATACATCAACTGCCTGACCTCGGCTTCCATCTTAATCAAGGCTTCAGTCTATGAGTCCACTGCTATGCCATACATCAGCTACCTGGCCTTGGCTTCTATCTCAATCAAGGCTTCAGGCTATGAGCCCACTGCTCTGCAATACGTCAGCTGTCTGGCCTTGACTTCCATCTCAATCAAGGCTTCAGGCTATGAGTCCACTGCTATGCCATACATCAGCTACCTGGCCTTGGCTTCCATCTTAATCAAGGCTTCAGTCTATGAGTCTACTGCTGTGCCATACGTCAGCTGCCTGACCTCGGCTTCCATCTCAATCAAGGCTTCAGTCTATGAGTCCACCTCTGTGACATACATCAGCTGCCTGGCCTTGGCTTCTATCTCAATCAAGGCTTCAGGCTATGAGTCCACCTCTATGCCATACATCAGCTGCCTGACCTTGGCTTCAATCTCAATCAAAGGCTCAGTCTGAGTTCACTGCTATGCCATACATCAGCTACCTGGCCTTGGCTTCCATCTCAATCAAGGCTTCAGTCTATGAGTCCACTGCTATGCCATACGTCAGCTACCTGGCCTTGGCTTCTATCTCAATCAAGGCTTCAGTCTATGAGTCCACTGCTATGCCATACATCAGCTGCCTGGTCTTGGCTTCCATCTCAATCAAGGCTTCAGTCTATGAGTCCACTGATATGCCATACATCAGCTGCCTGGCCTTGGCTTGCATCTTAATCAAGGCTTCAGTCTATGAGTCCACTGATATGCCATACATCAGCTGACTGACCTTGGCTTTCATCTCAATCAAGGCTTCAGTCTATGAGTCCACTGCTATGCCATACATCAGCTGCCTGGTCTTGGCTTCCATCTCAATCAAGGGCTCAGTCTGAGTTCACTGCTGGATCACAGGTTAGCTGCCTGGCCTTGGCTTCCATCTTAATCAAGGCTTCAGTCTATGAGGCCACTGCTATGCCATACATCAGCTGCCTGGTCTTGGCTTCCATCTCAATCAAGGGCTCAGTCTGAGTTCACTGCTGGATCACAGGTTAGCTGCCTGGCCTTGGCTTCCATCTTAATCAAGGCTTCAGTCTATGAGGCCACTGCTATGCCATACATCAGCTGCCTGGTCTTGGCTTCCATCTCAATCAAGGGCTCAGTCTGAGTTCACTGCTGGATCACAGGTTAGCTGCCTGGCCTTGGCTTCCATCTTAATCAAGGCTTCAGTCTATGAGGCCACTGCTATGCCATACATCAGCTGCCTGGTCTTGGCTTCCATCTCAATCAAGGGCTCAGTCTGAGTTCACTGCTGGATCACAGGTTAGCTGCCTGGCCTTGGCTTCCATCTTAATCAAGGCTTCAGTCTATGAGGCCACTGCTATGCCATACATCAGCTGCCTGGTCTTGGCTTCCATCTCAATCAAGGGCTCAGTCTGAGTTCACTGCTGCATCACAGGTTAGCTGCCTGGCCTTGGCTTCCATCCCAGTCAAGGCTTCAATCTATGAGTCCACTCCTATGTCCCACGTTAGGTGCCTAGAATTGGCTTCCATATCAAGCAAGGGTTCAATCTATGAGTTCAATTAACCCACTGCTAAGTCATACGTTAGCTGCCTGGCCTTGGCTTCCATCCCAATCAGGGGCTCAGTCTGTGAGTCCACTGCTACGTCACACCTTCCTTGGCTACCACTCCTAGACAACCAATAATTCCACATGACTTGGAGTCCCCTGGTGGCCCTCCACCAAATTCCAATAATTATAGAACTTTGTGAGCATTAGTTCTAGCTACAGTCGGGCTGAGATCTGGGAAAAGTTACATGTGTCCCATTAAACCCATTGAGGGCCACAGGTTCCTCCCCTCCTCTGTTTACGATCATGTCTCCAGTGTTGAGTTGCCACAAAACAGAGGCATGCGGGTAGTAGGAGAGGTTATCCTCACAGATCTAGTGGAGTGCGTCTTGACAGGAAAGGGCTGTTGTCAGAAGTCCAAGGTACTGAGGCAGTGATGCGGCGCCCCCTTCCCAGGGCAGGGAGTCTAAGCACCAACTGGTCTTCTTCAGAGCTGGATTTTGCTGCATGCCGGTACCAGGTCACGACCCTCAGGTTGTCCAGAGACAAGCCATGCAAAATGATACAGACATAAGGCAGATTACAGGCGGGCAGAGACAAAGAGAAGATCCAGGAGACAGGTGAAAGGTCAAGGCAGGCAGCAGACGAGCGAATCCAAGAGACAAAGCCAGGTCAGTACACAGAAGGTCAATCCAAGGAAAGCGGAACAGGGGCAAAGGTGCAGACGGGAGCTCGGAGGCAACAGGAACGTTGCTCAGGTGAAGAGAACTGGTCTGAGCAGCTGCTAACTCTGTGCAGCAAAGAGAAGCGCACAGGCTTGTAGAACCACAGCAGCAAAGAGGCGGAGCCACAGGTAACACTGGTAGTAGGGGAGGGAGGTGGTGCAAATACATAAACACAGCAGAGCTGAAGAAAAAATGTCCATCCTCCTAGGAAACTAACAAAAACGGAGGCACGCTGGTAGTAGGAGGGGTTGTCCTGCGCTGGCTTAAAGTTTTTTGTTTGCCAGTGTCCACTAGATGGCAGTATAACCAAACAATATATGTCTTCCTGTGTCCTCCAATGGACTTTGTGGTCTGGGGTGTGGCCACTCCATAGTCAAGTAGGTGAAAACAGGATGGATGTTTAAAGTTCACATTTGGCCAAATAGTTTTTGGGTGTGGGAAAGGTACAGGATCACCTCTTTCCTGATGCCTAATGAGACCAAACGTCTTTGTTTTTATTTAACCCAGAGAGACGGCACATCGGTGAAAGCCGAGAGAATCGTCCCGTTATCCCTTCGAATGGTGGAATAAAAGATGACGAGATGACCTCAGATGTCCCTCAGGTACTTCACAGAGAAAGGTTATCACCTACAACGGCCACGCCCCTGAGGAATCCCGTACCTCATATAGCCCGCCGATTGGGTAAAACCTTCCCGTGTTCCCAGTGTGGCGAATGTTTTACCCGGAGAGTGGACCTCACATCACACCGGAGAGACCACAAAAGGCAGAAGATCTACCCGTGTCCGGAGTGTGGGAAATGCTACTTTGAAAAACAGCAATTTACGCGCCACCGGATGACTCACACTGGCGAGAAGCCGTATCCCTGTTCGGAATGCGGTAAGTGCTTTACCGAAAGGTGCATTCTCACCAAGCACCAGAGAACTCATTCTGGCGAGAGGCCTTTTTCCTGCTTGGAGTGCGGGAGATGTTTTTTTCACAGGAGAAACCTCATCGTGCACGCAAAGACCCACACCGGGGAAAAGCCGTTCTCGTGTTTGGCGTGCGGGAAGTGTTTTGCGCAGAAAACGACTCTGATGAACCATGAAAAGGTGCACACGGGGGAGAAGCCGTTTTCATGTACCGAATGCGGGAAAAGCTTCTCACACAAGTTATCTCTTGCCGCCCATAAAAAAGTGCACACGGGGGAGAAACCATTTACGTGCGCTGTGTGCGGGAGATGCTTCTCTCACAAGTCCTCTTTCGTCGTCCACGGTAAGATTCACACGGGGGAGAGGCCGTATTCGTGTACTGAATGCGGAAAGAGCTTTTCCTGTAAATCGTCTCTTAACACCCACGTCAAAATCCACACGGGGGAGAAGCCGCATTCCTGTTCGGAGTGCGGGAAGTGTTTTTCTCAGAAAGCACAGCTTATCATCCACGAGAGGACTCACACCGGAGTGAAGCCGTATTCGTGTTTTGAATGTGGGAAATGTTTTGCCGTGAGGTCGAACCTCGTGGCCCATGAAAAAATTCACAGAGGGGAAAAGCCCTATGTGTGTTCCGAGTGCGGGAAATGCTTTTCTGAAAAGTCGTACCTTGCCACCCATGAGAAGGTCCACACGGGGGAGAAGCGATACTCGTGCTCAGAATGCGGGAAAGGGTTCACCAAAAAATCCTTCTTTTTGTCGCATCTCAGTTCCCACAGGGGACAAGAGCTTCCTGTTTCAGCAGGTGGAAGTCGAGTTTGAGTAGAACATGTCTTCCTCTCCGGGTGACAACCCTCAGTCCCCAGACAGCATAAAAACAATTCAAGCCCCCCAACCCTTGCTGCTACACCTTAAGTCCAACCCCTTGTAGCGTCAAACATTGGCCCGCCCCTTCTTGACACATTTCTGTTGGCCAGTAAGGCAACCTATCAGAAAGCTGCACATCTATCGCACCGGTTTTGTTTTTTTCAACAAGCTTTATTGACACTTGCATAATTGTACAAAACCAAGCCAGACCCTTGATACTTCTCCTCCAACAAGTTTCACCCCAACAGTGGCTTAGCCGTAGATCAGGGGTAGGCAACCTCGGCACTTCAGCTGTGATGGAACTACAAGTCCCATGAGGCATTGCAAGGCTGGAAGCCACAGGCATGATATAATTTGTAGTTTCACCACAGCTGGAGCGCCGAGGTTGCCTACACCGGCCGTAGACGGTGAATGAGCCAGGAAAACCACCTGGAGTGATACCGTTTTGTAGTGATGGGCCCATAGAAATGTGGAGGATGCCGCAGGGGTGGATAAGCTTGACCGGTCTCCGGAAGTGCCTGAGCGTTACCCATCCTGGTATTCGGGGACAGCGCAAGTCTTGGGTACCCACACTTTATAACTGACACCATATTTATTTTTAAAAAAACAAAAAAGTTCCATCATGCCTCTGGCTCTCATGCCTTTATGGGAGTTGTAGTTCCACAACAGCTAGAGGGCCAAAGTTTGTTTACCTCCCCCACCCCCCAGCTGTACTCTGTACTGGTTTACCTTTGAAAACCTTTAGTGTTTAAAACGGGCACCAGGGGGGCGCATTTTATACGCACAGCGCGACCCCTCCCACACCGCCTGGTGAGCCCCACCCCCGAAATGCGTGTGCATGTTTCAGCTCTATGAAATCTTTGTCTCTTATTTTATCTCCTTACTGCTGAAAAACAGAATAAAAAAATGAAAAACTATGTGTGTTCGGTTGTGTTTATCGGCTCCGAGGACTTCCGGGTTCAAAGCTGTCAGAATCCCGGCTACACAGGACTGGACTGTGCTCGGTCGTCTGGAGTAGAGAGTAGGGGGCCTTCATAAAGAGTACCCGTCACCTGCCCTTTACAATTACATAGGGGGCTTGTTAGCCTTCTTGTGATAGCAATAAAGTTGGATGAAAAAAAAGTTTAAAAAATATATATAATAATAATAAAAAGAAAGTGCACACACCAATGCAAACACAAGGTCACCCTCCAAACAAGCCTTCTGCAAAAGAAGACTCTTGATACTTCAGCGGCTTGGAAGTCCTCACTTTGCTGTCTTTAGAAGAGACGTTGAGGCCATCAGAGGATTATATTCCAGCTGGAGGATAGGCGCTGCGTCGGGGGAAAACCCTCAGGTTAGAAGGTAAATACCAACCATGGCACAGTAGACACGATCGTTCTATAAAGCCTCTGATCAACCGTATTGTGATCCTGAGAGGAAGGAGCCACAAAGGCCGAGGTGTCCAGCCAACGAGACCAAAATTTGGCCAAATTTGTGTTGCGTATCCTTGAGTGGTGAGTTTCTCAAATGATAT